ACCATGAATATAGCTATTATATACCCATTATATGGCCCCTTATAGGGTAGGGGTCCCCATTAAGGGTCCCTCTTCCCCATTGATCCATGTAGGGTGCTGAAGAATATATTAGTTATAAGTGCGGTTGTTAGTACCTTAATATGGATGATAACTATGGGTATCCTACTTATAACCCTACTTATACCTAGCCATGAGCAAGTGAGGTCATTCCCCAGGTTTCCTTGAAATGGTTGTAGTGTCACCCCTCGCCGCAAAAACCACAACCCGAGTCTAATGCTTCACTTGTTACAATCCCAGACCCCCCCGGGAGGATCCAAAAAGTAGATCCCTTAATGGGGGTTCCTATAAAGTACCCTTAGTGGTTAGGTCCCCAAATTAGGGGTTCTACTTTCTAGATCCTGCCGGGGGTCTGGGATACCGTGTTATCAGAACTCAGGACTCAGGACTGGATCCTAAACCCGAAACCCAAACCCCAGAGTCTAGACCCCCAAACCCCAACCTCAAACCCTAAACAACCCCCAAAGCTTAGATAAGAAGGTGAAACTCGCGAGCCCGTAAACCCCCAGGGCCAGACCCCCGAGACATACAGAGGGGAGCAATTCACAAGCGGTTTAGGGTTAAGGGTTTAGGTTTAAAGTTTAGGGTTTAGAATTTAGGGTTTGGGGTGTAGAGTATGGGGTTTAGGGTTTAAGATACTACCCCAAAACCTAAACCCTATGGTAGGATTCAGGCCGCAGGGCATAGTAGGACGGACAGATGCCGTGACGGGTCTGGGTTCGAGTAATATAGGGGCCTAGATACATTAATACTTACCAGTGCTATTTTGGGGGCTCCTTGTTTTAATTATAGTATACTATACCCCAAAGCCCTATTCTAATTGTAGGAATTTTGTATTTTCAACTCATGTTTTATTTCTGTTTTTAAGAAGTATTTTCAATTCGTGTTATTCTAAAACATTGCATTTTGTTTGTGGTTCTAAGGGTGCTTGAGATATAGGGTTTGGCGGTTTTGATGTTGAGCACCAAAAACTAAACCCCATGCCGTAAAACCTCTGAACACGTCCCAAACCCAAAACCCAAAATCGCAACGGCAAATCCCCCACATCCGAATCGCTAAACCCTTAACCCAGATCCCAAAGCCTAGACCGTCCTGAATAAGCGCTATACAAGGGGTATGCTCTGCTTTGGTCCTTGCAGAACGGGGTGTGCCTATCAGGACTCTGCATAGATGAAGCATGCCCGAAATAAACCCCCAACACCCAATGCCTAGGCCGTGAACATTCAAATCCTATTCTACTGATTGCGGAACCTAATTTTCGCGCAGAACCCACCTCTCGGGGAATCGAAACCCTTGCACGCTCAACCGTAATCCCTGCAGGAGTCTTCAAAGGAAGGAACCAGCCTCAAAGGCTTTTGGAGCCCTGAAAAGAACATGTTATGGGAATCCTAATTGGAATTCCTAACAAAGAGGTTCCATAGACTACTTGGAGGGGCAGGGGACATAGTAAGTCGTTTATAAGTAGGGTTATGATTGGGGTAACTCCATTTAGGGTACCTATAACTCTACTTATAACCTACTTACCAAGTGCCCTGCCCCTCCAAGTACTATCATGGAAGTAGCCCCCCAAACTCCTTGTAGATCCCTTAAGAGAAGCCCGAAAGTTACCGGAATCTAACCCTTCAACGGAACCCGTTGAAGAAACCCCAAAGCCTAAACCCTAAACCTTATCCCAAAACCCCAGACCTGAATCCCTAAACCCAAAGCCTAAACCCTTAACCTTAATCCCTAAACCCTAAGACTTAATTCCCAAACCCAAAGCCTAAACCTTAAATCTTAATTAATCCCTAAACCTTAAGCCTTAAATCCTACACCTAAGCCCTAAGCCCTAAGCCTTAATCCTTAAGCCCTGAACCTTAAACCCTAAGCCTTCAAACCCGACATCTAACCCCTAAAGGAACCCTCAGAACGACCACCGAGACAGGCGGCTCCACCATTCGGGAGCTGCAGACCTCGACCCAGGCCCCTCCAAGGGTTCGTTGCAAGCGTGCTTAAAGGATCATGGGACTTAGTAGCTAGGGTTCCTTAAAGAGCTCCATTAAATTAAAGGGATCTATAGGGGTTCCCTTAAGGGATCTATAGGGTTTAGGGTTTAGGGTCTACGTAAAGGATCATGGGACTTAGTAACTAGGGTTATAATTTGGGCGACTATACTTATAACTACTTATAACCCCAATTAAGGTATGGGACTTAGTAACTAGGGTTATAATTAGGGCAACTATACTAACTTATAACTACTTGTAACCCCAATTAAGGTACTTATAACCCTTATACTTACTAAGTCCCATGATCCCCATTCTAGAATCCCTATAGATCCCTTAAGGAACCCTACTATAGAACCCTATAGTACCTTATTAACAGGAGCCCTAAACCTTACTTCCTATGTCCCATGATCCTCCAAGTGGCGGTCGGGGTGTCGGGTTTCCTTAAACCCCTGAAAAACCCGAAACCCTAAAGGCCCTGAGCCCTAACCCCTAAACCCGAAAAGCTCGGAACCCTAAGCCAAAAACCCGCAAACCCTGAAACAGCAACCCTCAAACCCTCTAAGCTTAAACCCTTGGAACCTTTTATGGTTAAGGGCTTAGTTCTCAAGGTTTAGAGCTTTCAGGGTCTTGGAGAGTTTTTTACACTGGCTGTAAGGGCTTATGGGTTTAGGATTTAGGGCACTCACGGGGGGTTTATAGCGGGTTTCGTGGGGTCTACAGGGTTTTTAAAGGTTTGAGAGGGTTCAACATCAGGGTTTCAATGGTTAGAACGGACTAGGGTTTGGGGCTGTATATATATATATATATATATATATATCCCTAAACCCCTGAGCCCTAAGCCCAATAGTTATTGACTCGAAGAGGACGTGTCTCTTTTTGATTATCTTTGTGTGGCTTCCACAGATTGATCGGAGCTTCCTTTGACGTAATGAGTTTGCAAAGCTTTTTCCAAGCATATCACAAAAGCCGTATATGTCACACAGGTATCCTTCGCAGCAAAACCTACCCCCTTCGAGACGTTGCCTCCACTCATTTGTGCTTTGGCGCCGCGCTCCACTCTTCAGGCGCGCATCGACGTGGATCCGGACAACCAGCGCGTCACGATCTCCGGGAAAGAGGATTGGAAAGCCTGTAGATGTAAAAACCTTTGAACCCTAGATCCTATATCCGATACCCTAACCCTAAACCTGTGAGCAAACGCTGAGAATCAGCCCCTTGTTTTGGAAACCCAAGTTCTAAACCCTAAACCCTCAGCCCCAAATCCTAAGCCCGCAATTCTAAAACATAACCCGTAGACCCTAAACCCTAATGTAGGATCTGAACAGTTGACTGCCGTGTAGACCCGCCTCTGCCGACCTTCGCGCTGTGGAGCGTTTCTTTTGCGGCTGATCCCAAACCCTAATTCCACAGTAATAGTGATCGCCATAGCAATCATAAGCGTAGTGGTAGCACTAGTTTTAGACATCGTAATCGTAGTGATGGTGCTAGTAAGATTAGAAAAGGTAGTCAACATATGGGTGGTTGTCAAAATTATGGGTTAGTTTTTGGGCACCTTAAATATTAGGTGCCGTATTATAATAAGGATCCCAAGAGGGACCCACTTCTTGACAACCACCCATATAAATACTCTTGCCGCTTTCTTCCAGCCTCGAGCACTGCTAATGCGTCGCTGCCGCTCCGGCAAGGGTGTCGAACTGTCCAGGTTGTCTATTGTTTGGAGGGTTTAGGGTTCAGGGTTTAGGGGTTAGGGTTTAATTTAGGGTTTGGGATTAAGGGGTTTAGGGATTAAGGGGTTTAGGGTTTAAGGGTTCAGGGTTTAGGGGTTTAGGGTTTAGGGGTTGGGGGTTTAGGGTTTAGAATTACGGGTTAAGTGAGAAACCACAACGAAGACAAGTCGAACAACGAGACAAGTTCCCAGGACCCTGAAGTACCCCTGAACGCAGAAGACACCCCCCGGGCCCCACCTAAAGGAGAGGCGACAGCCTCTTTTGCACCAAGCCAAAAGCCTGACGTGTACACTTCTCGATTTGTGCGTGTTTCGCACTCCTGGGCTCGTGCAGGACTTGGTTTCACACTGATTAAAAAGTTTTCTCTCCTCTCAAGATTGCCCTGGCGCACTCTTCACAAACGGCAACCTAAGGCGATTGAAGAGCGTTCCCCACCAATCATCCGAACTCATGGGCTTAGTCAACACATCCGCAAGTTGGTACCCCGTGGGCACCCAAAATAGGGGAATTCGCTCTCCAATTCGTTCGAGGGAGAAAGTTTGTCGTAGCGCGGCTAAGTCTATTGCAAGCCGTTTATCCGAAGGAATCCTTGGGATTCCTTCTCTATGTAGATGGTCAAAGAGTGACTTGCAATCAGTGATGCAACGGAGTTGTGCACCGGCCAACTGTTCTACCCTCTTGAGCTCGCCGCTCAGGATCGTCATCATGAAAGATCGTACATATTGGCCCAATTCGACTGCTTCAGAGCATGCGGTAGTCTCGGCACCGAAAGTGGATCTACATACTCTGGGATTCGCTGAAGACTTCCAGTCTAACACGCTTGCTACCCCTCCGCCTTGATCGACTTGAGACTGGTCGGTGAGCACAATCAATATGCCCATCTGACTGGCAACCCTGGAATTAGCCCTCTTAGCTTTGCGGTCCTTGTGTTGAAACGGTCCATCAGTCATAATTGCAGCAGAATGGTCCTCGGGAGACAAGATGAAACCGTCTTCTCCTTCCAGGAGGGCGTTAGCCCAAGCTGAATCATGGTACACGAGGAATTCAAGTGATTCTAGATCCAAAGGGCGCAACCAAATCCCTTTCTGACGATGTTCCCATGCACGCTTGGCGATCTTGTTCGTAAATTTGATGTCCTCAACAGTGGGATACTTCTGGCATTGCTGTGCTAATGAAACCGAGCACTGCAAGTCTGGTCGTGATTGACTACTAAGCCATGACAGAGCGCCAATCAGGGACTGATTGTCGATTCGTTGTTCCTCCGTCGCCGGGTCGAGGTCGGCCTGCCCCTTTCAATCTTGATTTCGAATAACCTGGAGCTCGCATAAGCCTCTTGATCGACATGTACGCCATCGACGGAGACTCGGATGTGTGATCCGATGTAGTCGAATGAATCTACTTCCCAATCATCGACTGGAAACACACCTGATAGACTATCTCTCACGAGTTTCGAAAGATTGCGAGGACCGACAACCAGTAGATCATCTACGTGAACTCCAACATAGACCTTCGGCTTCTTGTTCAAGGCGGAAACAAGTTGGAACAAACACGGGTCGAGCGGGCTCTGTTCGAAAAAGCATTCCTCACCGTCAACCTGGATACGGATGTTCAGCATGTCTCTGCGGAGTCGCTTCCACCACTTGCGTGGGCTATCGGGCAATCCGAACACCCCTTTTGTGATTTTAAGAAGTTGCCTTGGATCAAGCCCTCTAAGTCCGGTCCTTGGTTGTCGTAGATAAAGTTCGCGGTCCATATCGTCACCGTTCAAGAAGGCAGCGGTGATATCGCCAGCTGATGCCTCCCAGTCATCAGATTGCCTTCGACATGCAAGAACCTGAAGCAGCGTGAGGATTGTCAGGCGGTTGATGGTGGGGGCGTCGGTTTCGAGGTGTTTCACATCTGGGTCTCGGTGTCCGGAAACCACTAGTCTTGCCTTGTGCTTCCACGGAATGGAGGCGTCGATCTTCCTTCTAGACCAATGTTTATCCCGATACGCAAAACGGGAGTTGAGGATGCGAGATGGGTCAATCTTGGCAAGGATCTCTTCAGACTCTTCGACCCCAATTGGTTTCAAGGCACTGTGATCAAGATGCTCCTGAAATTGTTTGTCTTCGGCTTGCCTGAACGCTTCATGTTCACTTTCGGGTATCAGCTTCCACGGGATCTCTTTCTCAAGGGCCTTTTCGAGAGCCCGATCAGTCTGGCAGCGCTTCATCATATGTGCAGTATGAACGTAAGGTTCGGGAGCTTTATTACGTACTCTTCTCCGGACTGGCCCTGGCATACTGGGTTCTGTCTGTCCTTCATCACCAAACAGCTCTGGAAACAACTCACCGCCCTCAAGCTCTAGTGCAAAGTCCATATCCTCCACCATCTCCTCATCGGTGACTGGGCGAAGTTCTTGCCCGGGATCAGCGCCATCATGTTCAACATTCATCTCGGAGGGTTCGTAATCCTCGGAAGGGGCATAGGTGTCGGGATCGTCGGGATCAAGGTTGAGCAGCTTTTCCAGATCATCTCTAGCGACTTTGGTGGATAAGATGTCACCGACCTCCTCCGGTGTCGATGGTCTCAAGTGCTCCTCCGCAACGAGATGACAGCGACCCCCAAATGATACCCACCAGTTCCCGCCTTCAGACCCGATGATTGTTCCCGGTCCACGCCAGGATCCCCTTTTGGTGGCGACCTTTTCTATGCGGTAAAAGCTGACGAGCTCTCCAACAGCATATCCCCCTCTCTTGATCCTACTCCTCTGAATGAGGGCCTTCCGGAACTTGGAGTCCGCTTGAGTACGGAAGAAAGCCATCTTCGCAGCCGCCCTGATACTAACTTCTCTTTGTCTTTTCCGATCTGCAGACAAGACCTCGATGTACCGGTCCTCGTCGTTAGCGCCACAAATTTCTTCTGGTGATCTTGGGTCTCGTCCAAACACGGCCTGAGTTGGGGAAAAACCGTGTCTCCTCCTCAGTTCATTCTTTGCCGAGTTAACAGCTTGGACAGCAAGGTACATATCTTCACTGGTGATTGATTTCTCGTCGATGACACGTCGTAGTATTTCCTGGTACCAGAGTCCGTGTCGCTCTACAACACCCTGTTGCCAATGTGCCTGGCCTGCCGAACTGCGCAGATTGCTTCCGAAGAACTCGGCGTACTTTGTGATTCCCCCTTGAAGACCTGTTTCAAGATCAGCTGAAATCGTTCCCGGTGCTCCAAAAGTGTTTCCCCACAACTGTGTAAAACTTCGACAAAAAGCCTCGGCGGAATGCCCCTCGAGTTCACAGACCAAGTGGAAGGTGGTAGCATGATCGATGACGGACAGGAATTCATGTCGAACTCGGTTTGCATCGAAAACATGAAACACATCAACGCTGACCAGTTGATTCATATCAAGTAGAGAAGGAAGAGTGGCTGGCCGAGCAACTTGTGTGGCTTGATTCCGGGCACAGTCTTCGCAACGCATCTTCTTGCAAGCCTTGAGTACTCCCTCGTCAGCTCCAGCATACCTGAGGTGCCTTAGCATGTCGACGATTCTGGGATGTCCCAGGTTTTGGTGTAGTCGTGTAAGGGCTGACTGAACATGCTTAGGTACGTCGCCGTCAAAGTGAATCGCTGAAGCACCTTCATGATCAATGTGATTGCGTCTGTTGTGCGAAGCCACAAATCCCTCCCGAACCCCTTCATGTACTGATTCGTCTCCTTGGTCGGGTCGTGTTGGGACATGCCCAAGTCGTAGAGTTCGAAGTTCACCATGTTCCTCACAAGAGTGGGGGTGTTGTCCTAGGAGATCACTGAGGGCTCGGGAATTCCAAATCGGGTCGTAAAAGAGTCCTTGTAGCACCACGGAACCACCACATCCAAGCTGGTAGTCAATGGTTTGTAACACCCGGTCTCCACGTTGAATGAACTCACTCTCACCTTGGAACCAAACTACATTGGGTTTCAACGTCTGGATGGTCTGATGCACATCGAACTTGAGGTCACTATCAAGATACTCTTCCCAGGAGATAGGCTCCACGACGTGCGCTCCTGCCTCGGCCATCTGGTAGGTGATGTTGGTGCCACCAATCTCGAAAACGCATGCTTGTTCAACCGCCTTTCCTGAGGGCATGTATTCGCTCAGGAACGAGGAAGCAGCAGCCAACCCGACAGTGAGGAAAGCACTAGCCCTCTGCGCACCTTTCCACAAGGATTTCCTGATGCTCTTCTTGGGCCGCTTGAAAGATTCTCGATCGCATGGAGAGGAACCTTCGTGTCTCCCGAGAGGAAAACCAAAAGTTCGCAACACATCCCGTTCTGTCCTTGAGAGGTGTTGCACACCGCGGGTCGTGTAGGCGACGATTGAGCATCGGTCACCTTCCCATTCTTCTACTGCATGTCTGGTCTTAGGACAAAAGTTTGTCATGTGCTCACGCGTGTTCACGACCTCACCGATTGCCTCAGTCCCATCCGAGAGCTTGACGTTCTGGAAGTCGGAGGGTCCATCAACCTTAGCATCGGGATCACTTTGAAGCCACAAACGTCCACCGTTGTAGTCACCGAATGCAATCGTCCAGCAACGGGTACCTGAGAGATTATGGGCATCTTTGTGGGGACCAACATGACAATTGTGACAAAGCTGGAAACTGCTCCAATGACCGTGCGCCCCGTGGGTCTTCATGAATGCGTTGATGTACTTTGTGGTCTGATGGAAAGCGTAAGTCTTCTGAATGATGCCATAGTGGTTCCCATGCGAGTAACCCCCTAGTGCAATACTGTCGGTGCCCTGGTTGATTTTCCTCTTTCGTAGACTCTGAGCTCTTTGACAAACCGCTCGGACGATTTTCTCACATGTGCTGAAGGTGAAGTCCTTCTGCGCAAGGCGGTCTTTTGCAAAATGTTCAACGGAGTTCCCAATGGCATCTGCACCGGGTATGTCTTCACGAGCCTCATAGAAAATCTCAGGGGAGTCCGCCTCCACACGTGTTTCCCGAGAAAGGAAGTTGGCAGTGAATGTTTCGCCCGGCTCTTCAAAATGATCTAAGGGAAGCTCCTCATCAAGTTCGGCCTCGATCACAAACCGTGCTTGTCCTTCAGGGCTGCAAGGCGGCTCATCAATGCATCGATCTCCTCTCGGACCTCCGACGGGACCTCCTGCTCCATAGGCTTTTGCCCCTTCACCGTCTCGTCTGTCATCCTCTTCATCGGAGCGGCTTTCGGGAGCTGTTCCGTAGGTCTGGCCATCGCCTTCGCCCCGTAGCCCATTCCTGCATTCATCATCTTGCCCGTCTCTGTCAACTCCGACCAATGGGTCTCCCAGCTGGATCCGTCCTCCGAGGGAAGAGGAACCCTCGCATCAGCCTCCGGATTGTAGGTGATCGTCTCCTCGGGCTCCATGAGACTCCTGGCGTAGTTTGCCAAGCTCACAAGATCCGGCCCTGAGTTCTCGACTCCCCGGGCCTCGACCTCCTTCATCGCCCAATCCAGGTACTGGGATGGCACTTCCTTGAACAACTTTCCTCGGTGTCGTCCAAAAGTGACGAGTGCCTCCGCCTTGTTGCGCGTGGCCGCGTCCCGGATGAGCATCTGGAGCTGGCCCTTCGTCGGCTTGGTCGGAATTTCGATCTGGTACTCCACGGCTTGGGCCTTCAACTGATCGAGCGTCATCGATGCAAGTCCTTTCGGGATTGACGATTCCCCGGATTCCCGCTTGTGGTCCGTGATCACCTGTCTGATTTCTCCCACAGACCAAGTCGCATGAACCGTGAGATTCAGGCGCATTGCCTCTGCCATCAGTTCCGTCTTGTTCATTTTCCACACATTCACCGGGGCGCTGGAAGAGGACATCAGGAACTTCTGGAGCAGGGACGACCGCGGGACTACCGAAGAGAGGGGCCCTAGCAGTGGCTCGAGAGAAGACTGACCTGCCGACCCAAAGAACTGGATGAAGGGCATCAAGGTGATCATGCCAGAGATCATGTGCTGTGCCCAATCCATCAAGTGTGCTGCATGAGATTCCTGAAGTACTTCGAATGCCCCCTAAGAAGCCGAGGAGCTTGTCCTTCGTAGCCGATTGCGAGGTGATCCACTTTGTCGGGTCGAAGAATCCTCGACGGGGAATCACATGAATCCTAATGAAGGAGTTGGGGGTCTCAATCCAGAAATCCTTGGAGATTGGAGTCTGACTCCACCAGGTAGCGAACGACTGCACATTGAGAGGCTCTGCACAAAGTAGATTGCGTACGCAGTCGTTGATCTTCTTCGGGTGGAAAAGATTGAGTCCTGGAGTAGGGTCGGGGTTCTTGTTCAATGGTTCGCGTCTGGTAGTCGGATCAACCGGAACACTCGCATCCCCTTCGACAGCACTGACCATGTATGACATGTATTGCGACTCAGCTGAAGGAACGATGATCACCTCAGAGCCAGCCCACTGTTGGGGCGTAGGCCACTTCAATCCCGGAACACATTTGGGTGACACAGGGATCGCCGGATGGCCGCTGTCCGTCGTGAGCAACATGTACTTGTCAATCCCGAGCTTTTTAAACTGTGCCGAATGTTCTTCCAAATCATAAACCATCCCAAGCTTGCTCAGCGCGTTACGGCTCATGAGAAGTGGCACTTCTCCCTGCACCACAGAAGCCTTCAGCATGAACACCCGGTTGCGAATCTGGATCATGATTGTAGCGGAAAAACTAGCGTGGAACAGCTTCGAAGCTCCGAACCTGAAGTCATCGTGGCAATCCAGGAATTGGACTTCAACGCCAACATCTTTAGCCAGGCGAACGTAGGACTCCAACCAACCCTGTCCCATCACCGACTTCGAACATGCTGTGTCAGTGATTGCAAGAAGACGATCACCACCAAGATCCCCAACCATGTACGCAACTTCGACAATGCTAGCCGGAGCATCTGAAGAGACCGAGGTCGCATGCGCTTGGTGGTCCTGGGCGGTCTTGGGTTTCGAAGCTGGGTTTCCATTCTTGTTCAATGGACATTCAGGATCTTTGTGCCAATGTCCGCGTCTGCCACAGCCTGCACAGTAGCTGCGAAGTTTTGCCTGAGCAAGGCGGTCATCGATCTGTTGGCGGGTCACCTCATCGCCGCTTTTCTTCTTGAGGGTCTCAGGGTCAATTCCTCGGGCCTTCACAACATCTCTGTAGCGAGCCTTGGCTGACTCCTGTGCAACGAACGCTTCATGAAGTTCAACAGCAACTTCTTCAGAAATGTAGGTCTCCGAACTGTCCTCTTCTTCGATGCCCTTCAGTCCCTCTTCGTCATCAACTCCCGTGTAGAATGCACTCTTCGCACCTTTGCCTTCACCCTTCGGCTTAGGAACCCAAGGCCCGCGAAGCGACTTTTCATGGAGAATGGCTGCCTTCTGAAGCTTAGCAGTGCTGTAGTCATTTCCAACAGAAGCTAGGAGAGATAACTCCTCTGTGTTGCTGAGGCCCAGTGCGTTGAGGTACGCCCAGGCACGGGCGACTTCTGGGAGCTTGCAGTCGATTTCCAGGAGTCGCGAATGACTCCGATCAAAGACCGAATTGAATTCCCTGATCGACTGACCGCTCTGGCATTTCATCTTCTTGAAGAAAAGAGTCAATGCTTCAGCAATGCGGCTCACTTCGACTTCTTGATACCGTTCACGAACCCATGACTTGAAGATCTGCAACCCACGTTCACTCGCTAGGTCCTCGACGTTCAATTCCTCTGATTCAACCCAGGCACGACCACTAAGATTCTGATAGAGAAGAAGAGCTTGTTGGGCTGGAGCGGTGCGTGTAACTTTGCTCCAGGCTTCGATTTGTCGTAGATATGATCTAGCTGAAACACCCAATTCATCCCCACTTCCAGTCGCCCCGAAAGTAGGAACCGCCATCTTCTCACTGAAAGAGCCCTTCGAATCAGCCTTCCCAGAAGTCTCTGAGGTCACCGAGCCACTGTCACGGCTTTGCCTCAAAGGAGTCCTCGTCGCATCGGTACTCTCCTGGGTAGTGGTTGAAGGTCTCCGCACATCCTGTGAGCTTTCATCCGGGTTTGAGGGGTCGCTCGAAGCAGGCGGGTCTTCGGAATTCTCATCTTGCTCGCGCTGTGTAGGTTGCTCTGGATCGCCAGAGCTGCTATACTGGTTCCAGGAATCATAATCTCCCCATGATCCAGGATGTTGCTGGGCACTACGGTAGTTGTTGTAGTAACCCCAAGGCTGCCAAGACCAACGATCACCCGAACTCCAGCGATGATCCTCCCAAGAATCCCAACCAGAGTTATATTGACCGTAGTAATCCCGCTGCCAGTTGCCCCACGGAGAACTGTCGCTCGGTTGTCGGGTCCAACCTCCGTCGTCATGAGATGCCACACTGGGCGGGTCGTCGTCAGGAGGAGCACCCGGAGGCTCGGTCGTCGAAGCCACCATGTGGCTGCACGGGGGGTCCTAAGGCCTACGTTCCTTAAAACCCCACAGACACAGACAAGAAACTCAGCACAGCACAGACCACAAGGAAAACACAAGAAGTCACGATCCCCGGCGCGGCCTGGGCTCCGCTACCAATGAGAAACCACAACGAAGACAAGTCGAACAACGAGACAAGTTCCCAGGACCCTGAAGTACCCCTGAACGCAGAAGACACCCCCCGGGCCCCACCTAAAGGAGAGGCGACAGCCTCTTTTGCACCAAGCCAAAAGCCTGACGTGTACACTTCTCGATTTGTGCGTGTTTCGCACTCCTGGGCTCGTGCAGGACTTGGTTTCACATTTAGGGTGTCTACTTTAGAGGCTTGTTCGTTTTCGACTCTGGTTCTGGGTGAGACCGAAATCCGAACCTTGAATCCAAAGCCTGTATAAGCCCTAAACCGCCGGAATCCTTGAAACGCCGGACCACTAACTCCCCATTCTCCCCGTGAACCTCAGAACCCAATGCCTGCATATGCAAGCGTTCCAGAAACGCAAGGAAAAAGCGATTGGCTTAAATCGCACAAGGCTGTTGACAGCAAAAAGAAATCACACTTATACCGCTGTCGCTATATGGCGAAGCCAAGTCGTTCGCAACGCCGCCATGGGGAAGGCCAAGGCCAAGGCGAAACCCACCCCGAAAGCTACTGGCAGCAAGAAGAAGGGTCCGGCAGATGGGGAGGCCGGTATTGAGGAAGTGTTTGCTGGGAGCAGCGACGGCACTGCTGGACAGAGCCCTTTGTCCTGCTACCTGCCGATCCTGTGCATCTCGGAGAATCGCGTGCATGAACGAACGTGGTCTGTATAGATTTGGAAAATCCGCAGAAAAACAATTCTCACCCTAAGCCCTAAACCCTAAACCCAAAGATAAGGCCATCATAAAAAGCGCTGAGCCCTGGATCCTAAATGCTTGAAGCCTTAATCATTCGAACCCTGCAACAACCTACAAACCACAGAAGCCCAAAGCCCACAACAAGGTAAACCCTAAGCCCCCTACACCCTACACCCCGAAACCCTAAAACCCTAAAGCCTTAAACCCCTAAAACCCCAAAGCCCTAAACCCTAAAACCCTGAAGCCCTACACCCTAAAGCCCCAAAAACCGACGTATGAAGTCTAAAGGGCTTAGGCGGAATCAATATCGGCTGCGTCATCTATCTCCTATATACCCATTGTGTTGCTAATCTAAAATTAAACGGAGGTGGGAAGCTTCAGGGTGCATAGCCCTAGCCTCCACTTTGGATTTATCCGCTAGTTGTCTTCCCTTCTATGTTTGTTGGCCCTCACGCCCCTGAACCCAACCCCTTCCTTCCACAATCCATAGCCCAACAGCCTCTGCCCGCCCTAAACCCTAAACCCAAAAGCCTTAAACCCAAAAGCCTAAGCCCTAAACCCTAAGCCCAAAAGCCCACACCCTAAACCCTAAAGCCTGAAGCCCACTCCCCAGGGACATATCAGGGAACTTATAGCTCACAACTTATCACCCCACTAAAAATTGATCATGAGCCTCCTAGACACGTGGTTTTTGGAAGGCCATAAGCCCAGAAGCCTAAGCCTTAAACCCTAAACCCCAAAGCCCACACCTCTTAAACACACGGTGGTTTGAGGAAGGCCATAAACCCAGAAGCCTAAGCCCTAAACCCTACCTTGAACCCTCAAAGCACCACATGAAGCAAAAAGTTGGAACCCCCGACTCTAACACCTACCTAGCCGAACCCTACTTAGAGGCCCAGGGGACTTAGTAAGTAGGTTATAAGTAGAATGCTAACCCTACTTATAACCGACTTACTAAGTCCCATGGGCCTCCAAATAACTATCCAGGTTTTTGGAGGGAGCCCTAACCCTAAACGTTGAGAATCAGCCTTGTTTCGGAATCCCAAGGTTCTAAACCCCTAAACCCTAAACTCTAAGCCCTAAACCCTAAACTCTAAGCCCTGAACCCTAAGCTCTAAGCCCTAAACCCTGAACTCTAAGCCCTAAATCCTAAACTCTAAGCCCTAAACCCTGAACTCTAAGCCCTTAACCCTGAACTCTAAGCCCTAAACCCTAAACTCTAAGCCCTAAACCCTAAAGCGCCACAGAGCCCCAAGCCTTTCTCTCTCTCCAGGACAGCGTGCGCCAAGCGAGGGGTCGGATCATGGACATCATCGGCTCCCGAGGCAAAGAGTTTAGGGACATGTATACATACCCGTATACACTGGCATGTATATATATATATATATATATATGTACACACATATATAGACACACACACACACACATAGATATATATATATATATATATATATATACATATATATACACATATATATATATATGCCTTTACTTACATACAGATGTGTGTGTATAGATATATAAAAGTATACACTATGTGTGTATCTATCTATATCTATATCTATATATCTTCTCGCATCATGGCTTGTAGCTTCGGGATTGGGATTTAGGCCATGGTAACGACAAAGACTTCCTAAAGATGCTGATGGATCTGACACGATACAAAGAAGGCGTGTCCTTGGAGTCCACTGAGTGTGGCCTGAGCCATCAACCACGCACAGTTGCCTGCACCTTCATTGTTGGAGAAGGTCAGAGCTTATGACAAGTCGTTCACATGGCTACCTGGAGTTATCTCCCTGAATCTTGATCCTGAAGGCGTGCATGTGGAGATGTGTCTACTGACATGCTTGCATGGCCAACAGGCCGAGGGTTTCGGGGTGAAGGATTCAGCCCGAGGGTTCGGGGCGTAGGATCCTGCTTGACAGGTCACCACAATCTAGGGAACAGGGAATATTATATCTTAATTGGGGTTCCGTAAGTATATCTATACATCAGTATCTTGAATCAAGGTTGCCGCAATAAAGGGAACAGCGAATAGTATGTCTTCGGGTTCCCTTAGCTTATCTACATGTTAATGTAACATACCGCGCCCCCAGCAACTTACTCTCCAACAAGCTCACACAACAACAGAGGATCAGAAAAGACCATAAGCATAAGCATTATTGGGCTTCATTGTAAGTGGGTTTATATGGGATATCCCTATCCTAATTTTTGCTTATGTGCTTTCTTGGGGCCCTAAGAAAAGACCGGGGTCAGCACGATGAGGTGCGTCGAGGCTTGGGGCTTACGGATTGCGGCGGCATCGCACAGGTTAAATCATGGGAATCATGGGGTTTAGGGTTTAGGGTCTCCTTGGAGGGGCAGGGGACTCAGGAAGTAGGTTATGAGTAGAGATAGAAGTACCCTAAATGGAGTCAACTACCCCAATTTTAACCCTACTTATCATCGACTTACTACGTCCCCTGCCCCTCCACGTAGCAACCCGCCCCTGGAGGCGTCGGGGAGCTCGCAAGCAATATCGGGGTCGGAATGTTTGGTACTACCATCCCCCTTTTAGTCCCTGTGTGATCCTGGTATAGTCTGCCCCAGCAGCCCTAACCCAATCGGCCTCTACTTGGAGGATCATGGGACTTAGTAAGTAAGGTTATAAGTACCTTAATTGGGGTTATACGTATAGTTACCCTAATTATAACCTCAGTTACTAAGTCCCATGATCCTTTAAGTATGTTTGGTTATCATTTGGCTTACAAGTCCCTTGACTGGGGCTTATCCAGGTTACAGCCCTGTACCCGCAGCCTTCAAGCTATACCCTGTAACTTCCTAAACCCCCGAACCCGAAGCTTGTAAACCCTAAACTCCTCAACCACAAACCCTATGCCCAGACCGTAGACCCTAAGGCCTAAGCCCCTTTAGATTCTGTACCTTCCCTTGAGCCCATCAGGTGGTGCCTGGGGAGGAGGCGGGGCCAACAGTCGAAAGCACACAAATATCCAACAGCTTCACGGGGTGGTTTAGGGTTTAGGGTAGGTGGGCTGATCCCAAAGCACGAGCCGAAGGGTTGAGGACAGCCACGTTCTGGTTGCTGCGAGGCGCATGGTTTTCGGTGCGACCAGACCTTGTGGAATTCGACCCGGATTTCAGGTTTTGGCTTTGAGTCGAGGCGTCAGCTCGGCATTTCGGGCGAATACCGGGGTTGCGAATACCGGGGTTTTGGGTTGAGGGCCTTAGTTTTTGTTGCTGATTACATAAAAACGATGACCTCACGGATTCACGCCTGCAATGAATGCCTCCAGCCCGACAGCCCTGAGGTTTAGCCGCAAAGGACGAACTACCCTCAAGCCCTCTAGCCTAACTCCCCAAACCCTAAACCCTGCAGCCACAGAGATTGCCAGAAGCTCCCCCGAACTCGATGACTACAAGGGCTTCAGCAGCAGCTCAGCAAGGCAGTAGAGGCTGTCTTACGGTTGATGATATAAATCCTGCATGACCCATAACAAGGAATCTACCATAATTCCCATAGTTTAGGGTCCTTAAGGTAATGCAGGATTTATATCATCAACAGTAGGGGTGAGTTTAGCAGAACAGCAGGGTCTTCTGAACTTCAAGGTTCGTCTCGCCTGCTTGGTTTCGGGCCCCAGTGGTTACAAGTGTTGAAGCTTTGGGGAGGATGTTCGGAGCTCTTGAGACCGCTGGCAGGTGGCGACATGGGCGGCGGCGGCGGCTGGGGCCGTGGCAGAGGCTTTGAGAGCTTACACCCGGGTTTAGGGTTTAGCATTTAGGATTTAAGGTTTAGGATTTAGGGTTTTGGGTTCAGGGTCTTTCCCGTCTTGTTGTTTGTGCTGGTTGTGTGGGTGTTGTTGTTGGTGGTGGTGGTGGTGCGGGTGGTGCTGGTTGACAAGGGTTTTAGATGTTGACGGTGCAGCTTCAGATCATGTTGATTTCACTCACAAAGATTGTGACGTCGACCACAACGAACACTATGATGGTCATTATGAAGAGCGGGCGGGTCAGAATGATTTTATGCTCTTATTGATGATGGCACGTTCTAGAGTGACGATGCACATGATAACGGCACTAATGGCCATCGTGTCGTTGACATCCCTGGATGCTGCTGCTACTGCTGCTGCTGCTGG